GGGGGGAGGCTTGGTTTGATCTGATTGGATTTCTTATTGTCGCTAGGTACAGTGAAAAGTTTTGTTTTGCATGCAGATCACCCGGGTGATAGAACGGATCGGGGAATGCATCAGAGCCAGGTCGGCACCCCGTTTAAAAATTTCTGTTGGAAATCTTAATAACAGCGGGGTTAGAAGCTGTTCTTCAATCTGTTGGTGCGTGCGTTTAAAGTTTGTACCTTCTGCCCCAACGGGAAGGTAATAATAACTGGGGCAGGGACAAGATCGTTTCTCCCCTCCCAGGGGACCAGATGGGCAGCATCTCAGAATGAGGAGTCGCCCCTAATTGAGGAGAGAGATGAGGAGGAATTTCTTGTGTCCAAGGGGAGTGAGCCCCTGGAATACTCTACCGCAGAAACTTGCCGAGCCTGGGTCACTCAGCCAGACGCTGAGACAGACAGCTGTGATTTTTTGTTTTTAAAAAAAAATCTGGGAGGGAATTGAGAGTTACAGGCGGAAAAGGCCGGGACACGTGGAGCTGAGCAGCCGCAAAATTTTTGTGGGATTTGCAGAGCAGGTCAGCTGAAGGTCTAATGTTTGCTCCTGGGTGAGAGGGAGCCCAGCAGAAGGTCGCCGAGCTTCACCCATTCCTCCCAAAATGCCAGGCCTCGAGGGTTAGAAACGGCGACCGTGTCCTAAGATATGACCGAAAGCGAAATTGCCTTGAGCAGGGAGAGGAGGAGCAAAGCTGGCGTGGAGGCCGACTCTCTGCTGTGAACCGTGGCACGTCTGAAGTGGCAGCCGGTCACTTGGACCTAGGTCTTGCCTGGAGCTGGGACGTTTTCTCTTTGCAAAAAAGTGCGACAGCGGGGGATTTACGCCCGGCCCCGTGTCGCGCGGGCTGCATTTGCTGGCCACCTCGCCGAACAGAGGTCAGAGTCAGCGTTCGCAGCAGGGCCCCGTCTGGGAGCAGGAAGCTGCAAACATCGGCGCGACCAAAGAAGGGGTAAAAAGAGGCGACCAAAAAAAAGAAAAAGGGCTGGAGAGTGGGGGGCCCGAAAGGAGTTTTGCGAGAGCCTCAGCCTCCCTTGACCTTGGCCTCGGTGTGGCCGAGCACAGAGAGGTCAGTGAGAGCTCAAGTGCAGCGGAGGCAGAACGGACAAAGTTATGATCGCTGTTGCCTACTTGGTCGTTTCCAGTGGTGGTGTTCAGCGTCACACGGTCCCAGCTCAATCCCGGTGCAATTCTCATCGGAATCACCAAGGTGATATTGACAGGGAGGGACTGTTGGCCAATGTTTTCAACCTGTCATCGGGGAGAAAGCAACACCAGGCAATAGAGAAAAAAACAAGTTCACCTCCTTGCAATCCCCCAACTCGTCCTCATAGAGTCTCCGGTCACATAATCCTGTCTCCGACAGTGCCCCGCTCCCTCAGCACTGACCCTCCGACAGTGCCCGCTCCCTCAGCACTGACCCTCCGACAGTGCCCGCTCCCTCAGCACTGACCCTCCGACAGTGCCCGCTCCCTCAGCA